GTGTGTGTGTATATGTATATATATATATATATATATATATATATATATATATATATATATATATATATATATATATATATATATATATATATATATATATATATATATAAACATACAGTTGAAGTCAGAATTATTAGCCCCCCTAAATTATTGCCCCCTGTTAATTTTTTTTCCTTGATTTCTGTTAAACCGAAGAGCAGATTCTTTTTCAACACGTTTCTAATCATAATAGTTTTAATAACTCATCTCTAATAACTGATTTATTTTATCTTTGCCATGATGACAGTAAATAATACTTGACTAGATATTTTTCAAGACACTTCTATACAGCTTATACATTTAAAGGCTTAACTAGGTTAATTAGGTAAACTAGGCAGGTTAGGGTAATTAGGCAAGTTATTGTATAATGATGGTTTGTTCTGTAGACTATCGAAAAAAATAGCTTAAAGGGAATAATAATATTGACCTTAAAATGGTGTTTAAAAAATTAAAAACTGCTTTTATTCTAGCCGAAATAAAACAAATAAGACTTTAATATTATTAGACATGCTTTGAAAATTTCCTTGCCCTGTTAAACATCATTTGGCAATGATGGCGGTGGGGAATAAATCTGACTTCAAGTGTGTGTGTGTGTGTGTTATTTGTTTTAAGAAATATACTCAATCTAATTCATAATTATGTTGTTAATAAATAAATGATATGAGAATAAATCAATTAAATCAGCATTTAAATAGAAAAAAGGGTTGATGAATAAAAATATTATTATTTATGTGTTTTATGCAGAAATTATGGAAATACGACTTAAGTAATACTTAAAATAAAATTACGTAAACCTTATGTATAATTGTGAACTTTTTTTTACATTTTCTGTTAACATTTAGTAATAAACAAATCACCGATTTATGTTACTTAAGAACAAATTAATGAAGATAGTTTCAGACTCTCAGTTTACAAAATTAATAATAGTAAAAATAACAACAACAACAACAACAACAACAAAATAATAATAATGTTATTATTAAATAAATAAATTAATAAATAAACAAACAAAACATCGTTTCAATTTAGTTTTATTTTATTTAAACACCATTATAACACACTTTTTAAATTAAATTTATTGAAGAAAAAAACCTAAGTATTATTATTCACTTTTTCTCTGTATACATTGTAAATAATTTAGTATATAAATAAATAAATATTTAAATGAAAAAGATAATTAAGTTAATCAGCTAGGTTTAAACTATTAAACTATTCATTATTAGCTTATTATTAGACTATATATATACTCATAAAAAATATACTGTACGATTAATTAAACCTTAAAATGAAAATCTATTTGAAAATATCTAGGGTATATACACCCTTTATCCAAGTCTACTTTGTAATGCTTATGGAAATGATTGCGAAATACTAATAAATCTAACATAACATTGCATACACTACATCATATATTCAGCTTGTTTTATTCAACATGTATTAATATTGGCTGATGACACAAATCTGGCTTTGATGTAATGTGTAAATCAATGGCGTCTTACATAAATGCTGATTATTTTGGAGTCTCGTCGTGAAGCTCCTGCACTTTTCAAAGCCGGTTTCCCTTTGCGCTTGACTTCCTTTTCAAACGTCCTCGCCGTCTCTTCAAACTCGCCAAACTTCAGATACTGTGGAGGATTATTACATTATTAGTCGATTTACATCTATATTGGTGTGATGTAATCAAGGTATTTGTATTTGTACATAACGTATATAAGCAATATTTCTGCAGTTTTCTATATAACACGATGTCCTAACAACAAATTGCATGAGATAAACTTCCAGCGACAAGCCATTTGACTATCTGCACCAAAGGTTAAGCGACAGGATTAAAAAGAATTGAATACCAGCCACTGCACTCCTGACAAAATGGCAAGGTTTATAATCCAGTTGACACATTGGAGGGTTTTCAACCATAAATTGCCTTTTTAAGATCATGCTAAAGCATCTTAATTGGATTCAGGTCGGGACTTTGGCCAGGCCACTCCAAAGTCTTTCTTTTGTTTGCTTTAGCCATTCAGAAGTGGACTTGCTGGTGTGCTTTGAATGAGTGTTGAGAGTCTTAACATCACGCAACATGATAAGAATCCACTGACAAGCAACATGCCAGAAACATTTAAAGTGCCATGAAACCCCCACGTTTCAGCAGGGTGTTTTCACACCTCTACTTTGGAAAAAGTCAGAAAAGTGGGCGTGTCCAGCTCTGTTTAGGGGGGAGTGTCGGAGGAAAAAAAGAGGCTTGGTGTGGGTGTGTCTATTTGGGCCCGCTGACTTTCTGAGTCAACACACACACACACACACACACACACACACACACACACACACACACACAGGGGACAAAGTGACTGTGTTTACATGGGCATCTGTAGTCGAATTATTTGGCAAATGATTAAATGTTGGACTTTAACTGCAGTTTGGCTCTTTCATTCAGGGAATTCATTCATGCCCCTCGCGACAAACGAGATATTTGATTCGAGGAACTGCTCTAAGCGTGTATTTTTCATGCAATGTTTGATACCGCATGACGAATGAGAGAAAAAAACCTCAGCATTTCCCGGAAACCTAGATGCACACGGCAGGTAGCGTCAGAAAGCCGCGTGTGTTATTCCGGTCACAAAATGCGGTGAAAATCCTACACGAGGTTAAAGTTTGGTTGTGGTGCTAACATGTTTACACTCTGTGTAATAGTTAGTTCGATACGAACAAACTGAATAAACAAAGAGCACTGGTCGCTCACTTACCAAATCTGTAGAGACAGGACAATCACCAGCAACTAGAGCCGCATCTTTATTAAGAGGAGACTACAAGCGAATCCGGATCTCAGCGTTTGCAGATGAGAACAGCTCTCAGGTAAACAATAATCCTCCTTAGACACGTATGTTATTGTTGTCGAGCGTCGCGTACACTGTTAATCCACACGTGACTCCAGCTGCGCTCTCACAGAGAGAAAATGAAAACAAAACTGAACTGCAGCAAACTATAAAAGCAACACTTCACGCTTGTTTTGCCAACACAACGTGGCGTCTCTCTGTCGTCTAAACACTGTGACAGTAATGAATATTAATGAAGTTGCACAATAGAGCGCGCTGATTGGTTTGAACAAAGCCTTACTCGTGCATTAATGCAGCACACTGTAAGACGTAATAAGACACAGTCTGCACGCTGGAATACACGCTATTATCTCATGACCGTGACGCAGCTTCAAAAATTCGTTTCAAACCGGAAGTACGAATTTGCTTGAAATAAAGCAAAAACAACCAATTTACACTTTTTAGTGAAATATAGGTGCCCTAATAGTGTTTTTAGCAGTGTGGGACACCATATACGACTGTCAACAGCTCAAAACATGTGTTTTGGTGTTTCGTGACCCTTTAAATACCAGCCACTGCACTGCCAACAAAATGGTAAGGTTTATAATCTAACTGATACATAATAAACCTCGTTAAAAGGTTATTAAAAGTGCATACGCTGAGTCACTGACTTTCACTTTAAAACTGTTCACTAGTTATTAATTTTTTTAAGACCTGAAGTGAACTATCTGCTGCTGCTTTCAGTAGTATGGCAATAAACGTCTCATAATATGGTGTTTAAACTGATACTGGTAGCATTTAACACTGATTTTATTTTTTATTAAGAAGAAAAAATAAACCAAACAACAAACAATTGTTCACACTGGACTTTGAAGCTTTGTGTCGTAGTATTTTATTTGTGTATTTTAAGGTATGTGCATCTTTGGCCTCTCATGGGATTGAAATGACACAAGAGCGAGTCATTTATAAAAGAATGTTCATTTTTGAGTGAACTAACCCTTTCAGTGTTTATTTTTTTTTACCCTTTTCCAGCAGTGTTTTGCCTCATAATAATCTGTGAGCGGTGCTGTAAACCCACCTCGCTGATCATAGACAGCAGGTCGCTTTCACTGGCCAGATTCTCTCCCATCTTCAGAGACTTTTTGAAGCTCATCGAACCACGGTCTGCAGAAACAAAACACTCTGCATCAAGACAATATCATATCATAACAAGTTAAAACACTCACAACACTGGCACATGCGTAAATATATAACACAGAGGAATGCATTGAACACTTTTAGCCAGTTAGTAAGATTGAGGGAATGTTGGTTTTATAGTCATACGTTCATTCATTTTTAATTTTCATTTTTTTAATTATTTATAACTTGTGACATGGTTCCTAAATTAGTTTACCACGTTACTTTAAATATTCGGTCAGAAATAGCATGCAAGTTTGACCTCAAAACAACATTAGCACTATTTAATTAACTGTGAACAATGTACTTTGAGGATTCTGTACAGTATATAAACATAATAATGACAAAATCAGAGAAAAACTAGTCTCGTGCATCACAGAGAATAACATTCTGATTATTTTGCAGTAGATACCTTTATCTGAAATAGTCTTGTCGTTTAATTGATTTTTACTATTTTATACATTAAAAGTTATTAACAAAAATATTATAAAATACACACAAAGCTATGTTTTCCTGGACATGTTCGTACTCATTTTATCGCATTTCATTGGGTTAATTCGTTCAAAGGCTTTTTTTAGTTGAGAAATTAGGCCTTGTGCAGCATAAAGTTGCATATAATTGTGTCTACCTGACGTAGTTTTGTCTTAAAATACAGCAGGAAATAGTTTAATTGGTTTTCAAACCGAATGTTAATTATGTTAAGTCATTGCCTGCTAATATGATTTCTCAGAATTTGCAAAGGAAACTTTTTTGAAATTATATTATTAAAGATAAAGTCCGAAAGTGTGAATATACAGGTCCATAGCCAAGGGGGTTCGAGTGGTTCGAAAGACCTAGGGCTGGGCGATTTGACCAAAGATAATATCTCGATTAATTGAACATTTTAACTTGATTACGATTAATGAACAATGTCTTTTCCCCTCGTTGTTTACTGACAAGTTTAGTAAATATGTTCACATATGAATGGTGCATTACTTGATTTTACAAAAATTGAAAGAAACACACACTATCTACTTATCATTCATTCATTTTCTTTTCAGCTTAGTCCCTTGATTAATCTGGGGTCACCACAGCGGAATGAACCACCAACTTATTCAGCATATGTTTTATGCAGCGGATGCCCTTCCAGCTGCAACCCCTCACTGAGAAATACCCATACATACTCATTCACACACATACACAATGAACTCATATTGTGTTAAACTGACTTAAAAAACAGCTTCCATAACCTTTCAAATTAAGTTAGAACATGTTTAACTTCGTTTAATAAGTTACAATGAAATAAAGACATATGTTGTCATGACTAAATGATAATATATATTTTTACAGTGTAAAATGCAGTATTTAAATACCACAATTAAATATAAAATGACACTAATAACTGTAAAATTGTTCACTTATTGTGAAAAAAAATACAAGTTTCACCAGGCTGGCCAAAGTGTGCTATAAAATCAACTTTACCCCAATTCAGCAAACGTGTAAGGTAATATTTGAGAAAAAACGACACCAAAACAAACTAAACGATTCATTTATTTTCCAAATCTATCACTTATAACGTGTATTAACTTCAGGGAAAATTAGCAAACCACCTGGTTACCCAGAAAGTAAGTTAAACTTATATATCCTAACGTTAACTTACTTGTATGTAACGTTAACGTTATTCATCGATGATGATGATAAACAGAATTAACTTCAGGGAAAATCTAAAAAAACACCTGATTTCCCAGAATGTAAGTTAAGTGAATTATATAGTCTTTGGTTAAACCTACTTTTATATCTAACGTTAGTTGTATGTATTCGTCGATGATCATAATAAACAGAATCAACGTAACGGAACGTAAACAGCACTGAATGCTGCTGTTAGCTTGTGCGCGTGCTTGATAATCAGTCGAAAACTGCAGAAATCAGCTCACCTCACGAACTATACTTCATGTGCAGCCGTCGGTAAACATATCTGAAGCGTTTTATATCAAAATCACGGAGATATAAACGCGTCAAAGATGATTTCAGCACGGTTAATGGAGGATGTTTGGCTAATTGTGATGGTAACCATGAGGAAGACGCTTTCTCCTAGTAACCGCGATAGGAGTTGGGGTGTCGGAAATGAGTGTCGTAAAAAATTGTAGTTTTATGTGGTGTAGATTTGTAGTCATTTGTGCTTCGAATCTTTGAATTTCGTGGTTAATGGGAAATTGCTGCATTATTTTTTTAGTAACGTTTATTAAAGTAATATTAACATAGTAATAGTGACAAAGCACTTGTTTTAATATTGATATATGCTAATATTGATAAACAAATAACAATTAAACAAAACTTAGAATTTATGAAAAAAATGCTTCATCAAAATAATCTTTCATGTTTATTCATATTTTAAATTATCATTTAAATTATTTATGGTTATAAATAACTAAACTAAAATAAATAAATGATATTTATTTATAATATTTTTCATATTTACTTATTAACCTTTCATATTAACCTTTATTAAAGCATTTTTACATGACAAAGATTACATGCATTTCTGTACATATTTACAATATGCAAAGTTGTATTTTAATATGTATTGTTAAAACATATATTATAAATATGTACACAAATTATTAATACATACAATGTCGGCTTTAACAAAGATATTAATCATAATAAAATAATAATGATGATCATAATTATTATATTAATGATAATAATAATAATAATAATAACATATGTAAATGCATAATATGTTGTTAATATTACTATT